ACTCAAACATTGTAACGGCGTGCCAGTTCAAAAGCATTTGCATTATTGATATTTGAAGACACCTACTTTTGTTCTTTTGCTGTTTCCATTTAAAAGTTTGCCGGAAATTACCTAAAAATTCTCTGCATTTATATAAAATAAAGAGATATTTTCTTGTTCGTTTCTATTTTGTAAGCATCTTATTTTGAAAAGTTAAAAACATAGCTTAACTTGAAGTACATGAGATCATTTTGTATTATTGTGCAAAGTTTTGGAAATGCAGGTATTCTGAAGTTGACAATGGTTTAAACATGTAAGCTGTGGCTACGGGAAGCTAAAACTTTTGGAGTTCGTAGAAAATTTCAGCCATTAAAAGATGACCCTAAGAGATCGTGTTTGTCGAGAAGTTTGGTCATGGATACTGGCGGGTTTCAAGAAAGAAAGGAGTCAATGTCATGTTAGGCCGAGAGATAGGAATTGAGATTGTCAACTGGGATGAACTGGTCAAACGTTCTGTGCCCAAGATGAAGCCGAGTTCCATCAAGATCAAAAGGAGATAGAGTTCCTTCGAAGAAGAAATGCATCAATTGCATATTTGCATACATTTAGGCATGAATAGGATCATGACACTCATAATTGCTTGATGATTTAAGCATTTGCAGGTTTCCAATGATACTTGAAGATTGAAGATATTGAAGCATCGAGATGAAGATAACGGGTCTTGAGATTTTGACAAGAATGATGTTTATACGAAAACTGAGCCAAAGCAGATTCACGTATCCAATGGTTTCCAGACAAGTTTTCGCGATGGAGATGGATTTTCAGAAATTTTATCAATTCTAAAGTTTTGAGTAATATTTTCAAACATAAATGATTGATAATGTTTGATTTTCAGGTTGGACCTTTGAAACAATTCAACTTAAGCCTTCACGGAAGAGTAGTGAAGCAAACTCATTTGTTGAAGATTGAGTCCTATACTCTCGGAAGAATAGGGAGCGACAAGTTCGTTGAAGATTGAGTCCTATACTCTCTGAAGGAATAGGGAGCGACAATTCGTTGAAGATTGAGTCCTATACTCTCTGAAGGAATAGGGAGCGGACAGTTCGTTGAAGATTGTTCGAGTTCTATACTCTCTGAAGGAATAGAGAGCGGACACATTTTATGAAGATTGTTCGAGTTCTATACTCCCTGAACCGAATAGGGAGCGGACCGTTTATTGAAGATTTTCTGAGTTCTATACTCTCTGAAGGAATAGAGAGCGGACCCGTTTTATTGAAGATTGTTTGAGTCTTATACTCCCTGAATGAATAGGGAGCATACACGTTTGCCAAGGATTGTTCGAGTCTTATACTCCTTGAAAGAAAAGGGAGCAGACCCGTCATTAGAAGATTTTCAAGTATCACTTATCCCGAAGTAACAGTGGAATAGTTTAATCTTTTGAAGTTCTCATACCGGACAAACTCGATCATCTTTTGACTTTGCTCTATTCTCATTACACGATAATGATAAAGAGGGGCAGCTGTAGATGCTCGGTTTTGTCCGGAGGCTTCGTATCTAGTACACGATATAAATTTGGACCAGGGAAAGCCCAAATGAGCCCAAACCTGTTGGAGGCCCAGCTCAAGACCAATGGACATCAGTTGTATGCAGAAAAAGAAAGAGATCAATGTTGGTTTTTAGAATTGAAATAATCAATAGTGGGGAAATTGAAACTGTAAAGAGTCAGTTTGAGGGTATTAACCACTAAAAGAACCATCACAAATTACAGGGGGAGAAGAAAAGAGAGGAGAATCGGAGACCATTTTTTTCTCCATTCATTGCTTTGCTTGATACGACAGAGTAGCAAATACTGAATAGAGAGTGTAAACAATATTCTTTTCCCTTGTATAAAAAAATCAAACATTGTAAAGACATCTTTTTTAGAAGGAAGCATTATAACAAGCAACACACCATTTTCTTTAGCAATCCAACAACAGAAGCAATCCAAGCAGTCCATAAACAGGTTATTATTATTATTTTTCTTTCTAAATAATAAGCAATATCACATGTTTTGAATCAAATAAAAGTAAAGTAGAAATAGGCTGTTAGATTTACCTTTTCACATGATCTCGTCGACGGATAAGGAGCTTGGGATTATGAGTTTAAGGTTAATTTGGGGTTAGCATTAATTTAATCTTGGAGGTTTTTCATGTAGATAGAGGTCTTATTTTGAGTGTAGAGGCTCGGTTTTGGGTTTGGCTGAAGGAATGAGTAGGTTCGGGAGAGTAACGGTGGAGTTGGGGTTACTGGCCTCTTATCGGAGTTTAATTATAAGGCCGATTCAAGGCATTTTGAGCGGTGGAGGGAGTGTTGTGTTTGGGTTCTAGTTAAACTTTTGTTAGAAGCATGAAGAAGGTGAGGTTTTGTTCCTGTAGTGATTCGGTTTTAGGCATTTTCGGTGAGGGTTTGTGGTGGTTCGGGTAAGGATAGCTACTTCCGAGGGTGGCCGGTGTTGTTCTGTTGGATTTTGAAGTGATGGTGGCCGTCGAACAGGGTGGCAAGCGAAGAGAGTTTCGTAACTCTCTATTGTAGGGAGAATGGAAGAGAAACGACTGAGGGGGAGAGAGTTGGCTTAATGCAAAGGAAATTAGGGTTTATTTTTGCCTTAAATTAAATATATGGTATGTTCAAAACGGCGGCGCTTCATAAGTTAAGGAATTCATCGAATGATCCTTTAGGTTTCAAAAGCTCGTATTCTGGTCCCTAAATTGATTTCTGAATTTGCTGTTTATAGCTCTTAAGTTGATGCGTGTTCCATTATAGTCCTAGATTTGGTTAATTTTAATTTTTACTTATTTACACATTGAACATGCAGTTTCAGAAACTTGGTGTTTTAACCCTATGTATGCGTATGGTTCTTTTTTTTCCTTTTTCACTTACAAGGCTCATAATGTTATTTTGTTACATTTTAATCCTTTGTCTTTTAATAGACAAATTACAATCTTGGTGCTTGGAATATTATTTCTTTTGTGTCATGACTCGATGTTTGTACAGTTTGTTACTTTAGCCTCAGATTTACAGTTCCCTTTTAATTTGGTCACACATCTTTAGGACCATTTGTTTTTCACCATTTTTTACAATAACATGTTATTTACCTCATTTATGTTTTAATCTTAAATTAATGTTCATTACGTTTTAATCCATATTTAAGTTTTTTATGTGTATGTATGTATAGTTATTTAGGGTTCGTTTCGAATGTATGCTTCATATGGTTGAATGATGATGATATGAATACATGTACACATATGTTGTTCATTAATTAGATATCATATATATATATATATATATATATATATATATATATATATATATATATTAATTTTTGTTTAATTAATTTTTACATGACATTATTTTGCATAATATGCATGATAGCTTCACTTCCATAACTCGACATATTCATAATTGGATTAAGGGTAGTATATTTTTAATTTAAAATTGTTTTAAGTGGGCAGTCATAACTGATTTGAGGTCCGCTTTTAATGATTTTAAAATAAAAGTGTATCCCGAAAGTGAAACCAAAAAATTTGATTCGTCACCTAAAATTTGGGAACGGGAGAAAAAGAAATGTTCGTTTATTTAAATATATCGAGAAAATGTTATTATATCTTTAAGATCTGGTCTCGATATTTGTAAATAATCGAACATTCTTTATCTTTCTAAAATGACTTGGTAATTTTAATTTAATTTGTTTGAGTGTTCTTGAATGTTTTAAATTTACATTTTTGTTTTATGGGATCAAAAAATCAAATTAAGTTCGAATTTGTAAAGTTCATTGCAAAAACGTTAATTAATCGACTAGGTACCGATTTAGGGCGTTGTGGGGGTGCTAATCTTTCCTCACACGTAACCGACTCCCGAACTCGGATTTTCGTAACGCAGACCTCAATTTGTTGTTTTAATTAAAATTAATTTTTATTTAAAATGACAAAGCATTTTTGGGTGCCCAATCACACCCTAATCAAAGATTGGTGGCGACTCTTCGAACCGTATTTTTTGATCGTAAAGGAAATTCAAAATTTTTCGAAACGAGAGGTCTTTTAAATCACATTTGTTTTTAAAATAAAAAGAGACAATTAAGAATTAATGCGGTTTTCAAAATCTCACCTTTTTTTCACCTTTTAAAAAAAATCGTTTCGACAATGATGACAAACTTGATCTATTGCTATCATCATCCTCGGCTGGCTCAATTCTGGGATGAATTTCAGTTGCATTGAATTCCACATGAGTGGTAGCTGGAGCTCCATCTCCCAACGTTATCGCAACTTCATCATAATGAACATCTCTGTTCTTAGCTTCACTATCATTGTGTTCAGAATAAGTAGTCACACCAGCTTCAGACATTGATTCAATATCCAGCTGACTTTCTCCATCTCCTAATGTGATCTCAGCCACATCATGATGAACATCTCTATTCTCAACTAGGTCAACATCCACATATTCAACATCGTCATAGGAAGTGCTTTCCTGTTCATCACTGACAGAAGCACGATCTTCATTCAAGATTGGTTCAGTTTCTCGAGAGACGTCTTGCTTATCTGGCTTGTTGTCCCCCTCATCCACAATTGAACTCACTGATTCAGTATCAAGAACAGAACTCAACTTTGACTCGCTAACTTCACTTGACTGCCTTTGGAATAAGGAAGGGCTAGCTTCTTCTGGTACTAATTGCTCCAGAACAAAATAAGGTTTCCACTTAAGCTCTTGTCGAGGAACAACTAAAGAAGATGATCCAACGTTAAAGCTTTCATGTCGGCTGAAGAAGGAGTCCCTTTGGGTAGCCATTCTTTGATTAAAACCTGAAAACTCTTCTTGGAAACTGTCTCCTTTAAGATCAGGTTTTTCCTCGCTCGAGTCATAAAGAATATCAAAAGGGTTTCTTCGGTGCTGCAAATTTGATGGAGCTGACCCAGGAATGGGTGGTAACCTGAGGTCATTGTAGGAATCATATGGAAGGTCAAAAGGGTTACCTCTTGAGGTAGAAATTGGTGCTAAATTTAAGGGAATATCAGCACTATCTAAGTCTATTAGATTCGTCTCAGCCATCAATCTCATGCTTTTGCGGGCTCTTCTCATTGCAATAAGTTTATCCAATCGTAGGTTTCTTTCAAGCTCTAAAGTCCCTAAATCCATGAGATTCTTTTAATCGTCCTCTGTCCATTTAATCGCAGATTTACTTTCATCCTCTTCATCTCCCTTCTCTCCTCCTTCCTCTTCATTATCTCTGTCTCCCTCATCTTCTAATTCATCCGAGTCAACACTTCCATCATTACTACTATCACCAGAACTCTCCGAGGCAGGATCCAAACCATGACGAGACAAATGAGCAGGCTGTGTAGCTTCTGATCCTAAAAACGGATGCAACTCGTCAAGCATCAGGCTTATATCTGCCAGTGAAGCATCAGGAGAGGAACTCTCAGCACCACCAGAACCAGAATCTGAAGATTCATCATCTTCGTCGTCATCCTTACCATCATCACCAGCATCCTCATTGTCCGCAACACATTTCCAAGAAAAAATCAGAGAAGAATCCGATTCACTACCCCTTGGACCATCATCAACATCGGATGTGAGTTTACAATCAACCGCTTCAAGATTCCTATCTCCTATTTCATCTGCCAAAATATGTTGACACTCCTCAGCCTCCCTCAAACTTGACACCCGTTCACTTTCTAGCATCTCCTCCCGAATTTCAGTCGTCATCTCTATCAGAGAATGACTCAACAGTCCCTCCACCTCATCAACCACCCCATTCTCGCAATGAATATCCTTAGAATCCAAATCATCATTGACTAACAGCTTATAAAGAACTGAAATGTCACCTTCCTCAACTCCATTGACCTCATTATCGACTAAAGTAACTTTCTCATCAGCATTATCTACTGCATCCCACCTCTTCCCTACATGTCTTTGTACAACAAAATCATCATCGGTAAAATCTCTTTTGACAACAGTATCATCCTCGGCACTCCTGGTTTTCAATGGTGAAACTTCATGACTAACATTCTCTTCTTCGTGTTCGTTGATTTCAGGTATGTTTGGCGACCCGAAACTCAAAAGGATACCAAGCAAAACAGCAGTGCAAACCAAAACAGAAGATGCAGTAACCAAGAAGGAAAACAACAATGGAAATGATCTATACAGAAAAATTAAAAAGCAAACCAAACCAACCAAAAATTGATGATTACAAATAAAACTATGAAATGTTTTAACTGATATCACCACATATTTCCTAACTTCAACTCCAAAGTCGATTCTTTCAAGCGCCATCTCTCTCGCTATATATAAATTTATTTCTTCTCAATTTCCGATCTGTTTAAAAAGGTGAAAAAAGATAAATTAAGATCAAAGCAAACCACTGATCCAAAGGAAGCAAAATTTATCACAAAAGTTAAGTGTGAACTCACCTTTGAGCTAGAATTAAACGAAACAAAGAGCAAACAAAAGAATATCAATCCAATAGCTGAAAAAAACAACAATTAAGAGTTTTTTAGTGGTGAAATTGCTAAAAAGAAGAAATTTAAAGCAAAGCTGAAAATTTCTCCATGACCAAAAAAATAGAACTTTCAAGCAAGAAATAAGAAACCCAACATACCTGAAACCCCCCCCCCCCCAGAAAATCCTAGGTCTTTGAAGCTTGAGAGATAGAAACAAATGGGATTTTCAAAATGGGTTAAACACGAAGCAATCAGTAACTAAAAACAAAGAAAGAAAAATGGAACCCTCTGTTTTTTTTTCCTGCTTTTTGTGCTCTGTTTTTTCACTTTCTTTATGGCTTACTTTTTCTATGGCTTAGAAAAACAGCTAGGATGTTGTTAGATTCCTTCCCCCACCCCCCTGAAATTCTATTGTTTTTTGCTTTGAAAAAAGATAAAGAAGAAATGGTGGATTGAGGTGGAACGAAAAGAAGAGAAAGGTTAAAAATAAAATTCCTATTATATTATTCTTTTGTTTTTCTTATGGTTTTCCTTTTCAACCTACTGATTTTTCATGTATATATTATTAATCGAATTTAAAAAAAAACAAATAATATTATTATTTTACAAAAAAATCATACTAACAAAATTTATTCATGTGTAAAATTAATTAATTAAAATAATTCTTTAAATAAATCATAATAATATTAATAATAACGACGTTCATCATATAATAAATTTAAATCAAATACAAATAAAATTTAAATTATCCAACTTAAAAAATAAGTACATGTTGACTAATAAAAAAATAAAATTGGAGATAATAATTAAATCAATTAATATTTAATTTTATACAGACTTGAAAAAAAATTAGACCTTAAAAGTTGGGTAGGCATGCTAATGCATACATAATTTAGCCACTAACAATAATAACACATTAATAAAGTATCAGTATCATTCGATTAAAAGATTACATTTATTTTAATTTATTAAAAATATGATTAAATTAAGAAATATGTAAATAATAATGATCAAATATATTATATAAAATATTTAACTGTAGTTAACTCGTGGTGACCATATCTTAATTAAATAAGAATGAATGTGATCATAACTTATGTATTTTAAAATCAACGATTAAAAATAAATAAAATACAAATATAAATGATCATCCGTGTAATTAACCCTTTTATGAAAAAAAACACTTACAATCACACGAGTACTCAGCCGTCCAATGATGCAAATTACGTAATGTCTAAGAATAAAATATAGTTTAAAAATTAAGTCGGCTTTAAATGAAGAGTACTAGCCGTCCAATGATAGATCCATTTTTAGGCTTAATACCGTGTTTAAATCAAATATTCAGTGGACTTTTTAAATAGAGACCCGTTAATTTAATTAAAAATATAAAATATTTAGAATTATAATAAAAGTTTACAAACGTAACTGTAAACGTAAATTAAGATATATTTAGAATATTTTTTATAACTGTTAACACAAAAAATTAGTCACCTAAATCACATAAGGACCAAATAATGAAAAAGTTAAAAAAAGTCTAACCAAAATACTTGAACAAAATATAGATACGAACAAATTTAACTGCAACGGAAAACAAACAAAAAAAGAATTAATCTATTGAAAGATCATCGCAAACACAAAACAAAGTCGAATGACGTGAGAAAACTATCTACGAATACAAATCATATATCCAAATCAATCAGAGGGTCCAAAACAGAGAGGGTCCAAAACAGAGAAGATCAACATGATAATAAATAAGCGTCATCTTTATCAGTCGTGGTGATGCCAAATCCAACCCCGAAAAAAATAATAAACGAAAATAACGATCAAACGACCGAAAATGAACCAAAAGTATATAAAGTGTGGTATACAGAGTAAAATGTGTCATAAAGATAAAACTAATAAAAATAAACGAAATAAATAGTTAAATATAACTTGAGAAAATAGATGAAAAAATACTAGTAGCGACTATCAACATTAAGGTTGGTGTATCTTATTATAGCTAAAGAAGAAAAGATTAGAGATTTTAGGGGTGGGAGGAAAAGGGTTGGTTAAGAAATAATTATGTAAATTTATTAAAGGAGATTCAAACCTTAAATAAACGGGCCATGTAATTATTATTAAGAAAGAAATCAAATTGTGGGTTGGGTAAGACTCAATTAATTAACGGTGGGTTCGGCACGGTGGAAAGTGGACTTATGGTGGGATTAAATGATTTATATGAGTTTGTATGTTAGAACTCCACACCGATTTTGTTCACTTAATTTCATTAGTTCAGTCGTAAATTGTAATACATGTTATAGATTTTAAAGTTCATTTGTAAGTTACTATGATAAATCAAGCACTTGGTACACAATTTTCATTGGGGAATAAGCTTAAAAAATATTTACAATTTGTGTTAATTTTATTGATCAATCAAATTTTATATTCTTTAATTTTGTTTAATTGGCGGCGATATCGATTTTAATGTTGGTTGCGGCCTGTCGGTTATATTTTTTTTTAGTTTTTTAATAAGAATAATTATGTCATTGTGACATGTTCTATGTCTTTATAACACATTTATCTCTACTTTGTAGCATGTTTTTCTCCGCCTTTTGGTAGCTTACGATATTTTGATGTTGTTTACGATTTTTTTTTCGTTGTTTTTTGTTTATCTTTTTTCTCAAGGTTGGATTTGACGACGATTAATCAAGATGACGCTTATTTGTTATCATGATGATCTTCCATGCTTTGGACCATCAGATTGATTTGGATACGCTTTTTGTCTTCGAGAATAGTTTTCTCACGTCGCTTGATTCTGATTTGCGATATGTCGATGGACTTTCAGTAACTTCATCTTTTTTTGTGGTTCGTTTACCGATACAATTAGATTTATTCATATCTTTATTTTATTAGATTTTTTTAACATTTTCCTTATTACGTGATTTAAGTGGTTAGTTTTTGTCTCAATGTTAATATAAAATGTCATAATCACGGTTACACTTGTAAAATTTTATTGTAATTTTGAATATTTTATATTTTTAATAAAATTAGCTACATTTTATAAAAAAATAGTTAATATGATGAAACCAATTTCAATAATTTAATATTTTTTATTTTTAATATCAAATCTCAAACCATCAAACTACATGACATTTTAATGAAAAACCTAAATTATTAGAATTTAATACTCAATTAAAATGGTTTTGGTAATATTATTACAAAAACAATGATGTAACAACTGCTCATGACAAAAGGAACATAATTTAAGTTGGGAACAATAATAGAAAAAGTGGGTAAAATAAGAAATAATCTAAAATCATTATGCTTAATTTAATATTTATACATATATTTTAAAATTAACTTATCGATAACGCACACATATCCAATGTATGTAACTATTTGAACTCATGATTTCTAAGAAAAAATAATATTTCGTTTTACTATTGAGTTCTTTTAATACGTTCTTTCATGTATTTCTTTAATAATAAGAAAATGAGACAATAACATAGATTTGTCCTTATATAACAATGTCTTTTTATGATTTCTTTTCGCGAAATTTGTGAAAATATGTTGTAATTATGATAGAATTATAAACGGTTTGTATTATTTGTCATTATTAGGAAGTTCTGTTGCAACTATATTGAATTTTTTATTGCAGAGAGATTGAGGCACGCGAATCGATCGTTTAGCGGGTGAAGAACTGTACGTCAGTCATTTGGCAGGTGAGGAACTGTATGACAATAAATCGAGTATGCTAGCTGCCTGGTGCAACTGAAGAAGATATAGAAGATTTAAGGTTGAGGGTTCATGGTTCATGGTTTAAGATTTAGGGTTCAGTATTTGTTAGAATAGTATATTGAGTTTGGTACTCTTTTTCAGTAAGCTAATTCTAATAAACTTTCAGATTCATTTTCCTTTGTTTTTGATTCCTAAACAATAAACCACGGCCACATTGTTTACTTCTTTATTATCACCGGTTGTCGCCGGTCATCGATTCAGACACCGATGCTTCAACTCTCGCATCGTTTTCTTCATTATCATATGGCGATTACCCCGCAAGGAAACATAAACAGTGCATTGAAGCAAATACTGCTGAAAATTTCTTATTGTTTTTTTAAACCACAAAGATGTTAGATAGCTACATGGATGGGGTCAAGGGTTAGCTTAAAGCCTCTACTTGAGAAGAAGACTGACTACGTGGACGGCCTTGAAGACTAGACTTCCGTCCAACATAAGTCAGGATGCTTGCCTTCTTCTCAAACTAGATATCTAAGTGCTACTATGAAGTGTTATGATGTGAGTGTTCATATCGTATAAGTGCCTTTTATAGTTAGAACCGTAATAAAATCAAATGATTTGAAGGTTAGTATGGACACCCCCCCAAGTCTATTACCAAAAACAGCCAAACTCATGACTAGCTCAATCAACTAATGTAAAGTTCTCAATAGATTATCCCATACAATCTTATGTCATGCTACATTGTTTTGTTTGTGCCTCAAGGCCTATCAACTTTGCTTTACATATACATTGAATCAGTGACGGACTCAAAAATATTTTTTAAGTTAGACACACACATATTAATTATTGAAAATTTTCATATGCGATGAATACAAGTAAAATTTCTGGATGGATACTCATAATAAATCGAACAAAATATAAAAAACTTGGATTCTAAAATAAGCACGTACCTACCTATATATGCTTTGCATCCGCCACAGCCTTGAATCCTTCAAATAGTGATACTGGATTTAGGTGCTGTTTGTTTGCCTCTTAATAGAACCATTAAGCGTTGAATGTTGAACCGTTCAGCATTCAACGCGTTTGTTTCGTACATCTGAATGATTCAGTGCTGACTGATTCAGCAAAACAGTGCTGAATGATTCAACACAGAAGTACATTCTGAATCATTCAGAGCCAGTTATCAAACAACATGTCACATTTTGAGCCAAATCATTCAGAGTCTCTGAATCATTTAGTATTTAAATCATTCAGCGCTTAATCATTCTGAAGTAAACAAACAACCCCTAGTAACTTTAGAAGCTTCCTTCACGTTCCACTATGTTGTTGTTTGGCTTGAGCCCCTATGACCCTATTCCCTTTAAGAAATTGAATTTATTATACTTTGAATTAATATAAAAATACATATA